CATCTAGCAGAAGCTTATATGAGCAGAGGATTTTTTTTTTGTCTGCTCCCACCCACCCACATTTTTTAAAGCAGGATGCAATGCTAACAACTTCTTAGACTAGACTGAGTTAAATGAAATCGACTCAATGCATTAACTTTTCTGGCCAAAGAATAGTGCAAAAATTGATTTCTTTTCTTATTTTTAAGTGGTAGTGGGATGTAAAATTCATTTCTTTATAGGATAGTTTACAGTGGATTTAATGGAATAAATTATATTTGCTTGCTTGTGATGTTTTTGTTTTCATTTTTCATTACTTTATATTAGTTATGTAGGGGAAAGGGTGTTTCATTGTTACATCTCCACCCATGTTCACACTGCATTCCAAACAAGCTCACTCACCCCTTTATCATCCCCCAACATCCTCCATCCTTACCACCAGCCTACCCTCCTCCCCCTATTCTATTGTTTTTAAAAGCACTGTGTTATTTATAAGGAAATGACTTCAAGTGTTGTAACTGCAGGAGGTGGAAGGTTCAAGAGCCAGAGAACCAGATTTGAATCCAGGCTGTTGCTTTCTGAGCTCTATGAACTTAATTTAAGGTTATACTTAACTGATTCATAATTATAATAGGGATAATTATAGCACCTTATAACAAAAAGTTGATTTCAAGATTAAAGATCATTTAAATGGCATATGAATTATCTAACTTACAATAAATGACACTTAATAATTACAAAGTTTTGCTGGCAATGGGGTAAAATTAGCAAATCAGAGACAACTTGGAATAGTGCCTGACACATGTCATCTTTGATAAATGGTAAAGAGAGTATACAGGTTCTAATGGAAATGAGGAGGAGACTCCCTACTTGTACAGACCCAGGAGGCACTAAGAAGACTGCCCAGTGAGATAAACCAGACAAATTGTGGAGTGTAAAGGCACTATTATTACCTCTGCCTCTTCAGTTGACACTGGATATGGGACAAAGAATTGAGAAGGGTTGCATAAACAACTCATCAAGAGGTTGTCCCACTTAAAATAAACAGCATCATAAAGAAGGGCTTTAATTAAGTCCTTTCATGTCTGCTGACATCTGCTCTCACCTCTGCAGGGAATGGACAAGGAAGGTGACTGGCACAGAAGAAGTAAAGGGCCAGATCCCAGTGATCATGATTGACAAGACTGCACACAGCAGAACTGCTAACTGTTTTCTAGGGAGGGAGGGAGAGAAGGAGGGAGGGAAGAAGGAAGAAGGAAGGAAGGAAGGAAGGAAGGAAGGAAGGAAGGAAGGAAGGAAGGAAGGTAGACTAATGTATGTTATTGGTTACTTTTTGAGCAACTTTGAAGAAATTGTTTTTTTTTTTTTTTGAGTCACATTAGGGTTTCCCCTGACTGTTCACTTCAAAACATATATCCTAAGTTGAACATACTTAAAATCAAGCTTTTGTTTCTTTTTTTCCCCCATTAATGGGCAAATTTATGAGGCGCGAGCTAAAACATAACCTCATTTCAAGGTCGCAGCCATGAAATGAGAGGATAGCATCTAGTAACATTTACTTTAATTCCCTGAAGAGTCAGGATGCGCAAGTCCTTAATGTTCACTTGACCTGCTCGTAAACTGTTGTTCTTTCAGTGTTGGCAGACTATACCAATACTAATGTTAGAAAATGCTGGATGTTGTTGAGACATTTTATGTCTCAGTTTCCAAATTTAATGTAGAGGCATCTTGGGTCTTCTATTATCACCCCATTTACAGAGGAGAAAGCGATTCACAAAGGGTAAAAATAGAATCAAAGACATTTTCCCTAAAGAAATAGTTCCTTCTCAATAAAAGTCTATCTTTAGATGCATATGGTGGTTTCCTTTATTAAATTTAGTGTTTCTTCTTCAGTTCCCCAAGGCTAGTTTCCTGGGAAACATGAATCTGGTTTCTGATGGAAACCAGGGCCTGCACAACTATTATAGTGTAGAGAGGGAACTCACTGGCCATACCTCTCATCATTTCTCTTGTTTTATTCTTTCCCCAAAACACACATACACAAAAGGAATTAGCATGGAATGAATGAAATGAATGACTGAGTGAACATTTCCCTTTAACCAACAAACTAACAGAATTTAAAGAGGGGGGAACAAAAGGCAGGAAGAAATGACCACATACTACCACCTGTTCAACTATGCCATGCTCAAGAGACAGGGAACCAAAGAAATGAAATCTCCTTTCCCTAAGAAGTACCTGGCAATAATTTTTTTTTTATCTCTTTTAACTCATTCCCCAAATGATTACAATTATTTACAGAAACCTGGGATTCTTAACATCCATCAAACATTTTAAAGTAGCCTTTGTAATAATTAAAAAGATATACTCACTAATCTTATTATAAACTCACTAGAAGAGAGTGATCAAAATGGAAAGAACTGATCATTCAGTTTGTCAGAGAAGGACAATTGAAGAAGATGAAGCAAGTTTGGAATATAACCATCTCTTCCAGTTGGCAAGACCAGCCTAGATCCTCTAGACTGCCTTCACCCTAAACTCAAGAAGGGAAAACATTTCTCTTTAAGACTGACTTAAAGCTTTAGAGTGGTAAAGGGTGCTTAGAGAGAGAAAAAATAAGTTCAAGGGTTTTGAAAAGGAATAGATTCCTATTATTGACATTAATAGGCCTTAAAGTAATTGTTGATGAGAATACGATGTTGATTGTAATTAATTTTAAACCAGAGTCACCTAAGAGACTGAGTAAAGAGATCTCACAAGGAGTAGACTCTCAGGTAGTCTTGGAGATGTGTAGCTGTGGGAATATTCTCTGCATTAGAATGTTCAGGAAATTCTGACCAAGAATAGCCACTAAAAATGTATTTTCTGAGACAGCACTCATATGTATATACTACCCTGTAACCTGTATCTTCTTACTCTATATAATAGGTTACATCTTTATTAAATATTGGCCAATGGACTTGGCCAAGGTAAAAATTCACTAACCAGGAAGTAAGTATTCTTTTATTGATATTAGTCTTAATTTTGAGATGGGTAGTATTCAGAAAATACCCCCAAAGCATGGTATTTTGGCATATCTAGTACTTCACAATGAAAGAAAGTGGAAAGGTTTCAGAAGCAAGGTTTTCCCTAATTTCTATCATACTTCTCTTTGTGACTTTTTTTCCCCTCTAAAGCTTATTATCGTACAGTAGGCCACAGAAACTAGCGTTCTTCCTTGCCACAGCAAGCTACAGAAACTAGAAAGGTCACTCTGTCCCTTCTCCTTTGAAGACTGTCTTTCCAATGGAGTTTCGGCACAACCTGTAGGAGGAAGGAATGCTACAAATAGAGGCCAACAGATAGGCCTCTGCTCTCAGTCCAGTACTACTCCAGCAAGCACAACAATCCAGTTATGATTCTGTATGGTACTCACTCCTCTCAAACTTACGGATGAAAACAGAGCCCTGTCCTTAGCTTTTCAGGTCTTTATTGCCGTTGACTCCCATGTCGTGTAAAGCTCAGATTAGACTAATTTGTTATGCTTTTACTTTGTTGATGAACCTTTTGTTGATCCTTGATCCTTATGAAGGGTGAGGAAAGGAATCTCATGCAGTTTCCTTCATAAGGAACAGAGGACATACTAAAAGGCAACTTTTAGTATGAGAAAACATCAAGTTAGACTTCCTTCCTTTAGAGAAAGGTCTCCATGGCTATGAACACATTACCTTTCAAGGGCTAGCACTATCAGTGGAAACTAACTGCAGTAAGCTCTGGCTACAATACCTGACACAAAGCTTCTAGGCACAGCTTCAATTGCTCACTGATCTCCCCTATACTTGAAGAAATAGCAACAGATTGTTCCAATTGAAATTCTTATGACTCTTCTTATCAATCTTAAATTCATTTTATAATCTCTACTTTCTCTCCTTGTCCATACTCAGCCTCTGGCAATGTGATACAGGATTCAAAAACAGTATAGGGTGCAAGTTAGGAAGAGGAGCTGTAGAAAGGAGAATCAGGATGAGATACGACAGAAATTGGTACACTGAAAATCTGATGACATACGTAGACTCTATTTGCACAGTATACAATTTTTATTTCTGCCTGCAGCATTAGGAATGTTGATTTGAAGCTGTGACTTGTATTAAGAACAGTAAATATTACATCATGCCACTATGACACTTTTAGAAAGGCACACATGCTCTTCTTACCAAAGTGTATTTTTTAGCAACACAATCTATTTAAATATACTGCTACAGTATCTAGCTTCCTCTGCCACCTACCTTTACTGTTTATTTTATAATTCACCTTGATTTACTGAAGGTATATGTTACACAACAGTTTCTCTAACCAGATTATGATTTAGGCAGGGAACAGGTTTTTGTACACCTGGGGATGCTGAGGGCCCTGTGCAGAGTAGAAGCTCATTAGATGTTTATGGAAATGAAGTTTACTCTTGCATATTCCAACTGTAACCATATTTTTGTTTGTTCCCATTCATTTTGCAGAGCATTTGGAAGACGAAGCAAACTTTTCCCTTCATTTTTACCTCATGGATCTCTTTCTTAATAGGAAATATTCTTTCAGACTAACTAAATAACAAATAATATAAAAATAGGTAATCTTTCATAACTTATTCATTATATATTAATGCAGATATGAAAAACTACAGGGTTAATATAGGTACCAATGTATTAGTATGTAGATGATTCTTCTATCATAGGTTTCAACATGTGAATATCACACAGGAGAAATCTCATTAAAGGATGCTTATTAAAGCTCTCAGTTAATGGAAACATATGTTAGAAAATAAAGAATTACTTAAGGAGCTAAAAAATGTAAGTTAGCAATGTGAGCTACTGAAAGATATTTATTGAAATAGCTTCCTGCTCCAACAATACTTTCAAAGTGATAATAGCATTGTCTCATGGTTTCTTATGTCACATTCTCAGTAGTATGTATGACTTAACCATGGAGCTGGTAACGAGATGTCAAGTAATCACCTGGCAACTAACATTACTACAAAGGCTCAGGCCTCTTACCATCAAATCCATCTTCTTCTGACCCTAGTTCATCATCTGAACAGATGTTAAGGACGTTGACCAGCATCTCAGTCACTAAAGTAAAAAAGGAGAAAAGTACAGATTTCCCGTTATAACCTTATTACTCTGGCATTGTAAATTAAGGTATATAAAATCTATTACAAAGCAATTTCTAAAAACAAGACTTGGTGATTATTGTGTAGACTTTGCATTTTATTAAGTTGTATTCTCTTCACAATAGAACCTATCATTGACTATAAGAGAGGAGAAACGACAAATCAAACATATAAATGCATGAAAAAACATGGTTATTTTTACAGTTTATTTTTCCCAGGAATGGTGCTTGATCTAGATAAGATTAGATTATAAATTCTGTTCAACAGAGGCTAAGTGAATGCCAGATTTCTTTTTTTTTTTTTTTGTATTGGGTAGCCCTCTAGAGAAGCTAGCATAATAAGAAGCATATAGCTTTGTATTTAATAAAAAATTAGTGACTGTTGAAGTAATATATTTGAAGTAGTTTTGAAAACATTAATTTTAAAAATGAATGTGTTGATGGAAATATTAACTCTGAGTCCCCAAAAGGCTTTAAGACACCTTAGGTACAGTTTAGCCAGAAATTTTAGTTAGCTGTAAGAGCCAGGCACAGAAAATTAGTGCTATAGTACTTTTAAGCTAATGTATATGCTATCACACTTAAAATTTCTTGAAACTAGATTTTATCATGTAAAAAGCAGCTTGCTTGCTAATCTCTCAAAAGGCCATTTTTAAAGACAATAAGTATTTTTAAAAAATGGTCATTAAAAGCTTTATAAATGGCTCATGCTTCTAATCCCAATTACTTAGGAGGCAAAGATTGAGAGGATCACAATTTGAGGACAGCTGGACAAAAAGTTCATAAGACTTTATCTAAACAGCGGAAAAGAATATATATGCCTGGCATATGCTTCACAGGCAATGTAAATAAGAGTCCAGGCCAAAAAAAAAAAATCAGGACACTATTTAATAAGGAATGAAAAGAGAAAAGGTTGAGAGAGCAGGCTCAAACAATCAACTGCCTGTTTAGCAAGCATAAAGACTTTTCAAACTGAATACACCCCCAAAAAGAGGTTATTTTTTTAAAAGTAAGAATATATGATAATAAGTAAACCTTTAGAGGAGTCAACATTAACTTAGAGCTTCAGTTTATCAATACTAAATTATGTTTGTAAATATATCAAGGTATTTTATGGTATATGCTTAAAATTTGAGTCATTAATGAAAACCCTCCAAATACAGTGTGTCAGGATGCACACTGCTACAGTGTGCAGTGGAACTAACAGGTATTCTATCATGTACTACAATCTGATGAGCCAAGAAATTAGTGAACAGACTACCAACAAGAATGTCCTTAAAATATAGTTTGTGTTTCCAGAGGGAAACTCATAATTTGTCCTCTTTGTCATCCTCTAAAGGAAAAGAAAAAAACAAAAACAACCCAGATATTGTGGGGTTTCGGAAAATATGTAGCTTTCCTCTACAACACCTGGTATCATTTATTCTGAAAGATGTGGAAACTCTTGTCTATTATTACAATAACCATTAGCATTCTCATGAGCTATGAGAGACGATATATGTGCAACAGTCAAAATACAAAAAACAAAAACCACCAAAGGACAAAACGGGAGGGGGGAGGGAGGGAGGAAGGGAGGGAGGAAAGAAGGGAAGGAGGGAGGGTGAGAAAAGGGGAGAGGAAACAGGAAGGAAGAAGAAAGGAAAGAATAAAGGAAAGGAGGTAAGTTGAGTAGAGAAAGGAAGGGAAGGCAGAAAAAAGGAAGGAAGGAAGGAAGGAAGGAAGGAAGGAAGGAAGGAAGGAAGGAAGGAAGGAAGGAAGGAAG